TGCAGTTGCAGTAGCCCTCTCCCTCATAGCATCAGCCACAGCTGCTACCCATCTCTGATATGCCCGTAGCTGCTCATGGTATTGTAGCTCTGCTAATTGCCGTGCCTCTCTAGGAGTAAGGTTCCGTCTAATCTCAGATGCACTAGGCTTCTCTACAGGGATGTCCGAAAGAAAAGGTTGAGCCGAGGCAGGCAACAAGGTAGCTGAATACAGTGAGACGATATTATACGACACGAACAATATCAGTTCCCAGATAGTACTACCAGATAGGTTCGGATCCAAGCCAAGAGCTTTTGCAGTATCATGCGCCTCATCAGCATCCTTTCTACTACTCCCCTGTTGCAATAGAGTAGCTGCCGCGCCACCCACAACTGGTCCTCCTGAATGCCATGATGAGCCAACTCAGATCGCCGTTACTACCTTCAATAGGTTGCTGCTCTTTAACGCTGGGTATTACAGCATTCTCGCTATCGGCAGTTGCAGGTCCATTAGCATCCTCCACTGGAGTAGTATCATCCTTGTCCATACCACTCCTCGGGGAACTCCCTACGCCTGCTGTTGTTGTTGCTGCTGCCGCAAGAGCAGCGGCCTTCCCGCGGGTCAAGATTCCCTCGGTTTGAGCGCCCATTGATGTAGCATTATCATCCTCCTTAGTAGTACTGTCACCAACCTTGGATGGTGTTTGCTTATGAAGCAGCCGCCTCTCAATGATGAGGCTGCTGTTGTCGGACATCTACGACGAGCAGTAGCCCTTTGAAAAAGTAGTACTACACAAGTACAGCTCAATTTCATGTTGTCGTCAATACACACGGAGAATCACCAATCGTATCGGCTTGACTCAACTCGACAACAACTCATAACATTGAAACTCACAAGAATAATCATGCTGAGAGCTCCTACCGCATGGAAGCAGCGAGCCTGTATGCATCAGACATGATGATATCATCATCAGAATAGAGGCCAAGCTTTAGAGTGGGAACTACACCCCCGTATCACTAGCATCTGAGG